CGACACGCGGGGCCCAGTCTGCATGACGTACGGAACTCTTTTTTTTTTGGTCTTTTGTGCCGAGTAGTGGAAACAGAATTTTGTTAGGTGTCGAGATCTGAAACTATTCAGATACAGAATCAAATTCATCAGATAGTATTTCAATAATTGAGAGCGGAAATGATAGTTTTCTTTATAGTAAAAATCGAGTCCGATATGTCAAACGTGCTGGAATGAGAGTTAAAATCTTGACTTAAACAACGGAATGATTCGTTTAGTTCAAAATTAGTTTTGCATGGCTTCAAAAACAAAGGTCGAAAGTGGCTTGATACTCGAGAGAGAACATTAAAATTTACCTCAGCCAGGAGGGCCGGGCTATTAATCAAGCCTGTTATTAATTTTACGATAAATATTATACCTAGAATTTCTCTATGACTTGCGAGTGTAGGCAAATTTATGCGCTTAAAAGCATAAACAGACGGCAGCGTTGATCCCGATCAACTCGGGAATTAACTGCGGTTGATCCGGATTAAGTCCGAGTTAATCCGGATCAACGCTGCCGTCTGTTTAAGCTTTTATTAGACGACTTGTGTAAGGGGTGAGATTGTAATCTGAATCCCAGTTAAAATCGCGCAATGCAAAAAGCAAGAATTGTTTTTGAATTGATTTAATCCTTTCTGAATGAACTTGGTAGCGGGGATTCCAAACAATAGATCCGTATTCTAGTATACGTCTAACTAAAGTGGTAAAAAGAGCTTTTGTGACATAAGGATCTTTGAACACTTTTGACCATCGCTTTACAAATGCATTAACGCCTTTGGCTTTATTCACTGTAATATTAATATGAAGGTTGAAATTGAGTTTGGAATCCATTGTGATACCAAGATCGACAAAATCGGATACCAGCTCCAGATTATAATCTGATATTGAATAAACAGTTGACTGCACAGCCCTCCGAGAGAAACCTATAAGTTTACATTTTTTAAGGTTTAGTGGCATATAATTTTCTTCGACCGAGGATAATGTTTTAAAAGGTTTCACATCATCGGCATACAATAAAATTTTTGAATGTTTTATTATAGAAGAAATATCATTAATGAATAACAGGAACAG